ATTGTAGATGAGCTGTAATATGCATGGATGTGACAAAGCCTAGCTGAAGCCATGGCATGGGAAAAGTAATGACATTTATGAAGAAGGGTCATGAAGTTATTAACACGCTCACACCACTTCTCTCAATTGCAAATAAAAATGAGAAAACTATCTTACATAGCCAGCCCCATGGAGCTCCACTTCATCCAGGGGAGTAACCATTTCTTTCTGACTGTAACCAGATGATGAGAGGTGACTACAGAGATGTCCTGTGAAATTGTAGGGGGAAGTCCCTGGAAAACTTTCTCTGGAGTGGAAACCATAGGTCTAATTTGACATCATCCCCACCTGTTATGCCCACGCTACGTCTGCATGAGGTGAGTGGAAACAATTAGAATAATATTTTTATACATTTTGCACAAGTAAGAAGATAGATAACAGAAAACCTGAGTGGAAAATGAGCCAGAGTATGAGTGCTTAAAAACTTAAGGTAGCTAAAGAGGATTTAAGTGGCATGGTGGGGGGAGGGCTGGATGAAAAGGAACAGTTGCCTGGCTAATGACAAGCAGAGTCAGATGAACCAGATTTGAAGGGACTAATTCAGGTGTTTAAACATAGGCAGGTAGTGTTTTCAAGATTTGCTAAGGCATCCAAGCCACCTGCAGTGTTCTGGAAGGGATGATGCAGAAAATACAGACAATCCCTCCACCCGTCTGGAGCAGCAGCTGAAGGCTGGAGAAACCTCAGCAACATCTGGAATACTGGCACTAGATACCAGGTGTTTAGATGCCAGAATCCTTGGTATTTCTCCCTAAATTCAGGACTTCTTTTCTTCTCTGAACCTAAACATCAGAGATGATATCTCATGGCTGGTCACTGACATTCACAGACTGACAGCTGGCTGAGAATAAAGGATCAGCTGGCAGTTTGACTTATTGGAGAACGATGACAAAGCCCTACTTAACCATGGATGTGGGGGTAGGTCAGAGAGCCTGTATGTGTTTCTGGCTGTTGGTAGAGGCCTTTCAAGAGTCTGGGAAGTTCTAGACCAGCAGTAGGCAACAGGAATGGAAAAGAAGGCAGCTCAGTGGGATGAGCAGGGAAGGGCTGGGAGAGAGGATGGCTGTGCTCAGCCCATCACTGAGCTTTGACTGATCCTTCAGCAGGGAAGTGCCCCTATCCAGGCATTAGCATGAACTTTGCTTACAGCCTTGTAAGCCAGTGTGATGTATTTCCACATCTCAGAGATGAAGCTCCTCAGGGGAAAATCTGGAATTTCATTACCATGCAAATCCACTTGGGATGCTGCTCTCTAACTTCCCCACCCCCCCCCCCCCCCCCCATTTTTCCCTTCTCTGCCTAAAAATTACTTGGGTGTGCAACCATACTTTTCCATATTTCCTCTTGAAGTATCCCAGAAGCATTATTGGACTTGTGCAGATGGGTATACTCATTTAACTCTCTCCTTAAATATTAAGAATCCTCACCCTGAGCTTATCTATCACATACTTGGCTCCTGCTCTTGAAATTATCACCTTTTTCACTGGATTTTTGAATGGTATGTAATTATGATGGTTTTATTTATCTATTTATTTTTAACAGGCTAATTTTTCACAACAGCTCAAAAGATAAATTCAGACTCAAGATGAAAAAAATTCATCTGTTGGGCTCTGCCTTTGCATCCTTCATGCCTGTGGCAGCTTTTTCTTCAGCAGAAATGCCTCACTACTTAATTTGGCATCCCATAGTCAACACCACAGTATGCTAAGCTCCACATTCTGGTAATTGCTGCTAAATGTTCAATTTTTTTCATCCACAACCACAGTGGGAGCCGTTTTATAGTAGAAGAGATGTAAATACCATGTAAAAAGATCAAAAGGTGAGTCAGAAACTTATCTAAATCCCAGTAGCCCCAGATAAAGTCTGCCCCATTGCTATAAATAGATTACCACAAGTAAAGTAGGGAAAGGGTTGATTGAACCTTGCATGCTACAAAAAGTTCAGTATATACCAAACTCACCAAAGATTTTTTTCCATAGTTAAAAGACTTGCATATAGCTATGAGTACAAGGAAACCATTCTATGGTATTTAGACAAGAACAAAAGAAAACACAGGGCATTGCAAAAGCATTGCTGTTGCCTACCTCCTCTACTGCTGTGCATATTTCACTACCTTTATATATATTATTTCAACTCCAACACATACAATTCCAACAGATTTAATCCTAATGGCATTTGCAGCTTGAATTTCTTACATAAGGATCGTAAATCTAGAATGGGAAGCCTGAAATCGTTAAAGTCACATATTTATAAAATCATATTCAATTAGGTTAAAAAAGCGCAATTTCTGTCATCATGTCATAAAAAGATGTGTTTTTCTCTCAGATCTACTATAAAGAAAAGCTCCCTATATTGTTACAGATAGAGGCTGTTTTCAATCAGTTACAAGAAGCAATCCAATTACTGGATGGTTTAGTGCAGTAACTGACTCCAGACTAATTTAATTTCTTTAGGTCTCTAAAGATCAATTGATCTGATTTGTTTCCCTCCCCAAAGGCTGTTTAGGAAAAAGCAGGCTTAAATACTTGGAAATGAAATACAAAGCTCTGTGTGCTTTCACACTACTTAGGTCATTTGGAAAAGCTAGAATTCAGGATAAATGAGTGCTGTCTTGGCCCCAACATCATGGGATGCTTTACGGGAGCCCATTAGGATCACCACGCCACACTGTAGATTACACACGCACGTGCTGAGTGCACGCCTGCTGAGGAACCAGGCTGGAAAAGTATTTTCACAGCTTCTAGAGAACTAGACAGTTTTCAAGAGCTGTGCAAGTGTGTTTTGGCCTTCACAGTCTTTTCCTTGGAAAATAAGTATTTTTCTCCAGCAGTGATCTGATAGTTTCCAATTAGACTGAGCAAGAGTCATGCTGTGCGATTCAAGAATCACCTATTTGCAATTAATGTTGCAGTAGACATCAAATAAGAAATTCTCCCTGTTGTCATATCTCACTTTGCTATTTCCTTTGCTTTGTTTCAGATTTCTTTAAGTGATTTTTCTTGTGCTAAGATGAAATCTATAGAACCAGTGGGCACTTAGAGAATGATGTCTTCATGTGCCTGAGTATTTTAATGGCAGAACCAAATAAACCCCTTGATATTTCTGCACCATTTGTATGATTTAGGCAATTCTAAAACACTCTCTTACCAGCCCACTTGCCTGTTACACTTTTATTAGACTTGATGTGTTGTGCAGCAGATTTTGAATTTTTAAATAATAATTATAATAGTAATCAGGGCTAAACTTTCTAATTTAAGTGAAAATCAGACCTGACCCAAACCTGGGCTCTCAAATCCAGAGTTTTAATGCAAGTTTAATACTTTTTACATTCAGTTTCTTGTATTCATTGCAGGCTTCACATTTGTCTGCCTTATCTTTCATGGCAACATTTGTGCCTGGGCTTGGCTGCCTGTCTCAGGCTCTATTCTTACTTATCAATAAACAAAAGGGCACTGCAGCTTATGCTCAGCATTTCTGACTCCATGCCATGTGCTGTTATAATAAGATGTCCTCTGGAAAAATTCCCTTCATATCCAGCACCACGATAGTCTGTTCATCTGCACAGAGGTAACTAAGTTTTTCTCCCAGCTTATCTGTTCAGACTCTTTCCGCCCTTGCAAAGCTGTGTTGTTAGATGTCTCTTGTCTGTAAAACAAGGAAACCTCTTCTGACAGGTCCTTCCTTGGCTATTTATTGCATACTAACCTGAACTTTGGATGCTGTTTACCTCAGTATTCTCTCAATACAGCAGGCCATGCTATTTTATTAAATTTGCCTCTTTTGTTTGTTTGTTTTCATTTTCAGTTAAGGCTTCCACTTAAGAAACAATTTACAACTACTTTGCAAATGTGCACTGCAGCCTAGGAGCTTTCTTTCCCCAAATTACTGTTCTTTTACCCATTTACCTAACAGATCACTTGTGATCCAGTCACTAGTAAGGTGTAAAGGATACGACTACTTGCCATCCATGGGCCTGCTTAGATAGATGTACTTTTGAACTGCTGTGAAGACTTTCTCTAGCTCTGTGGCTATGACTTCACTGAGCAGCTTGTCCCCTGCATGCACCTGTGAAAAATGATTCACAGATACATCTGGATATCTCCACATAGGAGCCTGGAGGGTTTTGGCCTCTCCAAACTTTCTTTCATGATTGTGTGCTCATAGGAAAAATTGGATGTGCTATATCCATCTCCATCGAGTTCTCTTCCAGCTTAAAGGACACAAGCAGCTTAATTTGCTTCATTTGCCAAGTTATTTGACACGATACCATAAATATGTGATGTGCTGGAAAGCTACCAAGAGATTGAAGTTTATTTCCTAACTCAGCTGTGGGTTAATGCTTCTATCCCTATGGCAGCAGTTGCTTGTAATGAGCTGTACACACACAAAACAATTTCCAGATAAAGCTTTCCCCTGATGCAGCTTGTGATACAACTTTGGTGAAACAAAAATGGCATCTTTGTTGTCAGAGTGGGAGTTATGGGAGTCATCCTGATCACAGTAATTGTCAATTTGGTGTCTGGGACTGCTGAAGTGAATTTTGGGAGCTCTCCTCTCTCTTTTCCACAGTGTTGAGCAGTGGGGAGCTGTAAAGATGTTTTTCACAGGACCACTGCCCTTGTTTCCCATTGACCCAATTCACAGCTCTCAACAGGATTAAATGGCATGATAAGAAAAAAGCTTTTCATTCTGAAGTTGTAAAACTGACCCTCTTCCCCCTTCAAGAAGCCCCTGAGGAAGAGGAATATATTGGCCCAACTGGAACAGATGTCAAAACTCAAAACAGCTCTTTCTTCATAAAGTTTATAAGTATTTTTAAAGGATGTGGAGGAGTCTTACTATATGCAGCAAGATAACATTAAAATGCACAGGTTCTCAGGAGTTGAAAGGATGCTTTTCCTACAAACTCTCTCTTCTCTTTATCTTATCTGCATGGAAAGTAAACAGAAAGTCCCCATTACCTCTCGATATCAGTGAGTCTGGAAGAGTCACGGAATCCTTTAGCAAAAGGGTTGCTGTCAATTTTCAGCTTGGTTATCTGGGGAACACAAAAAAGAGCAGCGTTACACGAATACAGTGTCGGGGCACTGCCAGTACAAAGTGTTGAGCAATCCATCCCCAGTGACTTTGCTGCTCGTTCCATCCGCATGCCCCGTGCGTGTGTGCTGCTCCTGGGACACTGCAGAGCTCAGGAGCCAAACCAGGGAGCACTGCACATGTGACAGTGGAAAGACCAAGGACTCAGCCTTCCTGTTGCCTGAAGCAGAATGAACCCACCCACAGACAGCATTACAGCTTCCAAATACTTTACCAGCATCAATCAGCTTGTCTTGTCCACAAGCAGCACAAATGACCCTGCTAACAGCTGAGCCTGCCTGCTGGAACTGCACATCAACCAACACAAGCCCCAGTGACCTGACGCCATGGCTTCACTTCACCACCACCTTTTTTTTTTTACTGGGATGGAAATCTTCTCAGCCAGGCCTACCAGCCACCACATAGGGGCAGTTTAACTGGTTTTGTATGAAAAGAGGCTGAGGAAGGGAAGGAAAAATGTGGGGAGTGCTCAGATTTAAAGTGACAGAACTTGGATTGAAGGAGCGACCCCACTGAAACTATCACAGTCTTGAAAAACCATGGATCATGAATAAAAGCTTCTTCAAAGGTAGCTATAAACCTGCCCACTCATTCAGTCAGCCTTTCCATTTTGTCTGAGCAACCCACTGACCAGGAACCCCTCCTGCCCCAAAACATCTGAGCTCCCCTTTGTGGTGAAACTTTTTAGTCATATGGTGGTGGCTTTCAATATGTTTTTTTTTGAGGACCAGGAAAAATATGCACCATTGTTCTTGTGAAATTTTCTATCTACCAAACAAATTTAGATTTGGTGAATAAAACCTGACACATCATTGTAATATTTGGATTTTCCAGCCATACTTCTTCCAAGAGCTAAAAATAAAATTGTAAGTGGGAGTTAGAGCTTGATGAGAGAAAACACAGGACCCATCCTGCAGGGCAGTGAATGCCACCAGCTCTAGCTTAAGCCCATGAAAATCAACAGCTCTCAACATTTCATATTAAGGAGTTTTGACTTTCCTCTGACAGCCTGACTTCCCTCAAAAAAAAAACTGTGTCAAAGGGGCTACAACCTCATTTTTAATAACTGGGCCTCAAGACTCAGGAAAAAAGAAATGGGATCTTTTCCAAATCCTCAAACAATGAAACACTCTTATCAAACAAATATTTTTCAAAATGGGATGGCTTCTCCCCCAAAATAAAAATTAAAAAAAATAATGATTAAAAGGACAAATATATATTTATACAAAATGTAAAAAAACAAAGAGGACAACTGCACCCAGCTTTTAATTGTGAGAAAGAGGTCTTCCAAGGAAAACACGGAGAGGAAGGGACATGCTGACAAAAAGAAATTCTGAGTTTTTAATTAAGGGTCTGTCAATGGTCAAACACCATGGACCTGAGGGCTGGTGGAGAGTTTGAGGCTGTCTCATCACTCATGTACAGCTGGTGGAAACAACCTTGAAACCTTGTCACAAGGACCTTGAAACAGCTCAGAAAATTAGTTATAGGCTCATTCTACTTCCAAGACATCCATAAGCCCTCAGCTCATGGTGATGTTGCAGAGTGGCAAGTTAGTGCCTCACATCCAGTGAAGATTTTTCCGGCAGCATTTTGAAAACCACCTTGAAAAAGACAAGCTCTAACTGGTTCCATTGACTGAGATCACCGACACACCAAGCCAACTGCACTACAGAACAATAAGGATGTCTATTCATCTCTTGAGCATATTTTCACCAATCAAACTTCCATCTTCCTGATATTAAAGTTTTGGTATGACATCACAGAAGAAACTTTTTGTATCCACCAAAGCCAGATGAGACTCACAATCATTTATGGCCATATTTTTCCTGAGAGACTGTCTCACAAACAATCAGAGAACATCTGCTAGAAAGCATTTTAAAATGAAATCTGACCTACAATTCAACTCTGTGGCAGTGGTTTGACTGTTTAAATAAATGCATGCCCTTTAAATCTTAAATTATGAGATAGTTTGTTGAAAGTGTAATGTATTTAGCTTTTATCTAATAACCTCCAGAAATGTAATCAATCCCTCCTTAAAACAGTTCTGAAAGAAATGGCAAAAATGAAAAAAGGCTCCATTTTCATTAGTCATAAATAAAAAGACAACATCAACCTCTAGGGGTTCCGGAGATGTTCCATTGAGAAATTTTCCAGGACTCAATGTATGTGCTTTTAGTTTAGAAACATCTCTAGTGTAAATATCGTCGGTAGACAAAAATCCATCCTACAGAAATAAATTCTGGGTTTAGCTGGTTTTGTGCCTGTTACTATTTTGCTGGTTTCTAAAGAAAGTTACGTGGAAAAATCTAACTGCCTGTCCAAACATTATTTTCTTGAGATTGCCAGGTGCTGAGAATGTTTTCTACAGCATTCAGATACAAATCTAAGTCTAAATCAATACATTAAAGCCTTAAAACAGGATGTGGGGTCTGTCGTAAGGACTGACTTAATATTACTAATATTACGTTCAGAGCTTCTTTGGCATCCTATGCATTAGTTTCAGTTTATTCATAGCATTTCAAAATTGCTTTTGCTTCCTATTAGGAAATGCCTGGTTCTTTAAATAATCCAGCAGGTACATTAACTCTCTGATGCTGCCTGCCCACATATTTGGGCAGTGCCTATATTTTTCTGAACTTGAAGGAACTAAGGAGCAAAATAGGTGGTTTTTTTTGAAGTACCATAGTCAGTAAGTCCTTAAAGCACGCTCTGAATCGCACTGAAGGCAGCAACATATTTCCACTGACTTAAAGCCCAATCCACCATCAAGCAGAGCCTCTGTTCTCTGATTGTTTATAGACTTCCTAAAATTACTCATTAGCAATCCATTGTTATGATCTCCTCCATTTTGTATACATTATTCACTGGCATGCAAATTGAAATTCAAACATCTGGATGTAATCTGGGCAGCCTCTGAACAGCATATCTCTGAGTGATTTTCCCTACGTTTGAGCTTTACAGCTTAATTAGTCAACTTTCTAAGCCCATGAAATCATCATGTGCAAACCAGAATCTCTCTCAACTCATAGCTTGTGGCATGAAAGATCACTGCAAATAAGAACAGTTCTTTAATGAGCTATAATTAGAAAATGACTAAATGTTAATATGCAAGCAGCTTTGTATAGACAGAGGGGAAGACAAAAGAAAGCCTCTTACTTGCCAGTTTCACTCTCATGAATAATCCTTACTGCTCTTTGAAGTCTGTGCTACTACTGTATCTTCAGGAATTACTCCTGAATGTGAATAAGATTGCCATGGCAAGTTAGATTATGGAAGAAATTTTCCTAGTTTAGATTGGGCAGAAGAGAGTTTTCAGCAGGGTGGGATCCAGTTACATCTGTGGAAATTAGCAATTCTACTCACCAATTGATTCTGGTAGGCAGTAACAGCAGTAAAAACTGTCTCTGGAAAGATGAATGTTCTGAACTCTTCTGATTTCAGATTTAGCAAAGAAGCTGTGTGATCCTTCTTCTTAATGATGTGCACCCTTGGCTGGTACTTGTGCATGGAGTTCAAAATGATCTACAAGAAAGAATGACAGAGCACTGTCCTGAGAGGAAGGTTGACAGGGCCCTTAAAGGCTATAAAACCACGGGGAGAGGGGGAAGGGAAAGATCTCATTAACACTACAGGGGAAGCATCTGAAATCTACCCAGCCAGGGGCTGGTTTTCAGAGCAAATTCTCCAGCTCCTTTGGGCAGTTCCTGGAAATGAAGGTGGAAAAGCAGGAGCTAGTCTCCTCTCACTCCTACGCCACTGTTGAGCATGCATTTCTTGAGGCATAAATACTTGTTCCTACAGGTGAGATGTTTTACATACAGAATTAGTCACTGCCAGAGTGTGCCCTGGTTGGCAGATGTGAATAGGTAACTCCTGAAAGCTAATGGCCAAGAGCCTCCACTTGCAGATATGTGCATGTGCGGAACGAAAACAGTCACAAATCCCTCAGAAAAAAAAAATACGGAAAAAATTAGACCCATCCAAAAACCTACCAACAGCAGCACAAACCGTCTGACCAAAAGTAAAACTCCACGTAGCCTCTCACTGTGGCAAACCTTTAAAACAAACTCCTTCGGGGGTGCTCTTCACCGCAGACTACCAAAAATGAGAGCAAGGAGGGAAACCAGCACGGAACCCCCAAATGACTGGGTTTTGCTATTCTATCCTCATTAATAATTGTTTACGAGCTCCCAAAACAATTCTAAACCTAAGGTACCAACCAACCAATTTCAACGTTCACTGGAGTCAAACCAAGCCAAAGCAAGTCCCCCTTGCTTTAGTTACCACTGGCTGGAGGCCTGTTTGGCGGTCTCTAACCACAGTATTACAATATAAGAATTAAATACAGAACTCCGCTCACACCAGCCCTTGTTTTGGATATAATCACAGTCACAAGACAAAATTGGCAATGGTGTGGGTGGTTCTATTTTGCAGGGGCCATAACGACATTACAGTCAGCTCCGTACATCTGGAATAGCTAATGTGCATTCCTCAGGAAGCGTTAACTTCAGCTGAAACATAGCAGGAGCAGTGCAGTATTTCATGCTAAGTCAATGAGAAAGGTTGCACGTTGCATTGGAGTGGAGAGCTTAGAGACAGCTCTGTCATGGCTACAATTTCCATCAGTGTTTTTCTTTGCTGCTCCTTTGGGCCCAGATATTGCCAAGACTCACACTGGGACTTTGTGGGGAGGCACAGAGCAACAAGAAAGACATTGCAATGACAGTGAACCATCATCCTGAAAGTGTTGCCTGTTTGCTCTAACCAGCTCAGGTCCCTTTTCAAAGCACTTCACCATTTCATATAGGAACACACACAGTGGCCATGGACCTTGCCTTTCATATCCTTAGCACTTTTCCCTCTCTTTGTAACATTTTCTTACCATCCTAGTTAGTCAGAGTGCTCTAAGCAGATGGAAAAGGCATTTTAAAGCAGGATGTGTGGATGGTGATGAGCTTACTGAGGGGTTGGCCCTCAGACCTTGGTGCTTTCCATTGCCTTTCGTGGCCATGATATACACACCAAGGCATTACATCTGAGCAGCAGTGGGGAAGAAGGAAGAAAAAGTTGAGAGCAGCTCCCTTTCCTTTCAACCCTCTCTGAATGCAAATTGTGATAAAGGAACTACATTTCTCAAACAAGACTATGTAATCACTTATGAAAGTTTTACATAAAATAGAGTACACAAGGATAACGTCCCTTGCCGTGGTGCTCTACATTTCTCATTCCCACCAGATCCAAGTCTGGTCATTCATGTACAAAACAAGTACTGAATGGAGCCAGGAGGTCACAAAACATCCACGACCAAGGAAAATGTCAGTATTTCCTTCATGTGAGGGTCTGTATGTGTGGTTCCCCACCTCCACCCCCACACAAGCTGCTGATGACACACAAAGACACTCCTTAATATCTGTATTAGGACCATATAAAAACAGCCCAAAGGAGTGAGATCCAAAGGGTGTTCCTCACAGAGTAGACTCCAAGAGTGGCCTCAAAGTCCAAGCAGTCTCCTCCTGCATGGTGTAGCTATCAGAAAATCCCTTGTGCCAGCTCAGAGACAATCCTGCTGGCATGTCCCATATATTCATGGCAGCCCCCCTGCACACACTTGCTGGCAGCCACAGGCCCTCAGCCACCCATCCACCTTGTGCTGACAGCCTGAGTCAGGGGGATGACCAGGATACCTCCTTACAGGATCCTGATTGCTGTAAGGTCAGGCAGGTTTGTAGGCATCTGGCTCCCACTGGCTACAGACCAGTCACCGGAGGCAATCTGGATGCCAGCTGCAAAATTCCAAGGTGGTTTTGAATTCAGGAACTGTGCTGTGAGTGCCGCTTCCACATTCACCAAATAACAGCATTACCATGTAAAGTTTTCTTTCTGAAAGCACAAAGGTTCCTAACTTGTGCCTGGTTGACTAAAAATACTTGAGCATAACTCCATGAGGCTATTCCACAACCCCTTTTCAGTTTTCACAGTTATTTATTAAACATGTTCACAGCTTTGAATTTGCTATTGCATAGATTCATGTGTTTGAGTAAATGCCAAAAATAATGCCAAGTATATTATTACAATAATGTATTCACTCATGGCTCACCTCACCATAAACCAGAAATGATGGCACTCCAATGAAGGGCAATGAAAAGTTCTAAAGAAAGCACTCTGTTCGAAAAGTATCATTAAAAAAACAGGGGAAAAAATGTCACACTCATAAATATTTCAAAGTCAGAAAAATGGCAATAACTTGCTTGGCCGTAAAAATCTAGAGATAGGAGCCATTTCCTTCCTCTGGTAAAGATATCTGAAAGTGTTTCCATGCAGTGAGCTGTATGCCATGCACACAGAGATTAGACTTCTGCCTGAGGCTTGAGGAGAACACGTGCATAACTCTGGGGTTACACATGCTGCTGAAGGTACTCAATCAGAAATGCTTGCCAATCCCAAAAGTCTCGGAATAAGAGAAAACAAACATATGCTAGAACAAACAAATGCCTCTCTTCTCTACTTCTTCCTTTTCAGGAAGGGAACCACCCTACAAATAAACCACAATTACCTTAACACCCAAAACTGTCTTCTGCATGGTGAAGAAAGCAAGCAACTAGAACAAACTGGAATCAGGCTGGATCCATTTTCCCTACCTGTAACTAGTATTTAAAGGCATCTTTTGGGTCATCCAAATTTCCTTGTAACCAACATGCCTTATCAAACATAATTAAAAAATGAAGACTGGCTCTTCCAAACTGAAGGGAGAGATTTCAGGAGGTTTCAATTCTCCTCTTCATACACAGGAGTTCAGAAATGCCATGAGGCATAGCACAGTGAGTCCTCCTTAAAGGCTCCTGAGAACTGATTTCTTCCTTTATTCTACTGATCATCCAATGAAGGCATTTGCCTAACTTCAGTAAGGCAGCACATAAAACCTGGCATCCTGATTTGGAACATAAAGCCCCATTAAAAAGAGAGTGCTCTATGAAGGGGTAACACCTGACACTCAAATCTCAACACAGGATCAAGCCTTCAGGGCTTATCCTTCACTGAGCACACAAAACTTTCCATTGTCGTTGGCTGTCCAGAGCCTTTGTGTAAAGAATGGGATCAACCTCTCTTCTCCGGAAATTAATGGGAAGGCTGCGTCTCAAACGCTATGGATCCTTTTCTCCTGCTGCCTGTATTTGAGACGATTACATCTTCTTGCTCTGCCACATGTCTCTGTTCCCGACAGCTCCTCAGACCCACTTCTTCTTCCTACTCCTCTGGGCTTCTGGGAACTGCAGCTCTCCTAACTAGCTTGCAATATACTGCTGCAAGCCCTTTATTAGAGGCACACATGGCCCCTGTTATGATGAAAAATGCTTCTTTTTAAGTGCTCACGTATACTGCTCTATCATCACTCGGTGATAGAGCCCACAAATCTTCAGCTTTGCCCTTCTACAGATTATGAAATAAAAGAGAGGAAAAAAGCAAAACCATTCTCCACAAGTCCTGAAGGGAACAACAGTGGGAACTGGGTTCAAGAACAATATATTCACAGATGGATCTCTACAAAAGAAAAACACAAAGGCATCTATCTGGGCTTTCTTTTGTTTATTTGTTTGTTTCAGCTACTTTTGATGCTGTTATTTCCAGGATGTATTTTAAATGATCATGGCTGTGGTTCAATTCTCAATTCTCGTTCTTGAAACGAGTGAAAATTCGCTTTTGGATGAGAAACATTTGCACAGAACACAGCTGAGACAAATGGCCACTGTCTCTCACAGTGCAGGCAATAAATTCCACACTAGGGAAGGGATTTCTGATACATTGTGTTCAGCAATTGTTCAGCTGAATGAATTAGTTATCCTACACATGCTTTAGAATTCAACATCATTTCTCTCTTCCCAACACCTCATTTACTAACACTGCATTTATGCTCGTTCTTCTAAACTGAATTGCCCTGTTCTCAGTCAACAATTCTTTCAAATCCATCCCCTTGCTCCTTCTGCCGTCTTTAAGAGAATCACCAAGCCCAGAGGCAACAATTTTAGCTCTTTCTTTGCAATTTGGAAGCACTATCTAGTCATTCCTGCACTTCACAGGCAGAGAACAGGACAGACAATACCTATTCTTACCACCTACCACTAGGCACTCCGATAACTACAGGAGTTGTCCCCACTGATGGAGCACAGCAGGAACCCACGGCAAGCAGCTCTGAATCCTATTCACCATCCTCCAGCCTCAGGACTTGGGACAACAGACTAGCACCAGTCAGAGCTGGGACCTGTCTCTTTCAGAGGCCCAAGCCCACGCTGTGGCACCTTGACTTGCAGTTAGCCCACAGTTATTTCAAGGGCAATTGAGGCACACTTATGTTTTATACTTCTATAGACTCTGCTTTGGTGTCAGTCAGTATTTTCTTCTGACTCTGAGCCCATGCTGCGATGAGTCTGGAAGTAAAAGAGCTCTTATTGACAGACCCAACCCTAGCAGGTGGCCTGAAGTGACCTGTAGGGAGCTTCCAAGCACACATATAAAAGCACGTGGGTTTGCTGGCCATGGCATGTGGCAGAGCATGGTGCCAAGTCACAGCAAAATGAAAGCAGAAGCACAACAAAAGGCTCAGCTGCCTTCCTTCTAACCCTATGTTCAACTCCACCCTGAACTTGTCCCTGATGGATGTTTTGCCTCTAATGGAAGTAGGAGCATGATTTGAACCATTGATCCAGACTCCACCTTACAAAATATTACAGAAAATCCTGACTTTGAAAGTTGCTTGTTCCTCAACAACAAAGGAACACAAAAGGACCCTTAAACATGTTAAACCAAACACATTCAAGCTTCACACAACATCTTCCACCCCTGTGGTGTGAAGGGCTGGCTAAAAGAGGTGTACCATGGGGACCATGGCAGCCTTTCCCCATGGCAGTATCTCTCTCATTCAGCCCCGTGGCACAAGCAAGCAATTCCTTGGTGATCTCTTTTCTCTTTCCCACCCATAGATCTACTCACATGGCCATGCTGATCCAGCTCGTTGTTGGTGAGTTTGACTTTTTCAAAGGACACCATCTGCTTCAGCAGTTGCTCTCCTGTGAACGGGGAGTCAGGGTGCACATACAACCTAAAAAACACAGGGAAAATGCCTGCTCAAAATAAAATCTCACGTCTGGACTTGTGTGTGGGCAGGACCTCAGTATGAAGTCAAAATGTACATGTCATTTTGCTTTTGGGGTATGCAGTGGTTTCATGGGCATAGACTTCCTGAGAACTGAGGGTAATAAAAATCTGCTGCTAGAACATGACACCATCTCTCCCAAATTAATGAATTCCTGAAATAAAGCTATTCATTAAGGACAGTAAAGCAGATGACTTATTTAATTCACTGCAACATAATTGAGAATCCTGTGTCTGAGTGCTAGACTGCTCCTTAACCACAACTATTATTTTATCCTGCTATCTAAAATGGAGACATTAACATTCCCTGTTGTGTCTTTTTCCAAATGAAAAATTGATCATGTCTTTCCCCACAGCTGTACTAACAAGCACTTAAAATAACAATGACTACAACTCCAAGAGAAAAAACATGGTGTCGTTACAGAGATAATGGGGGAATGCAGATAAAAATGCATTTTTCTTTATATGTAACATTAAGCCGTGATAATGATTTTAACCTGCACTCGATCACACATTTGCTGTAGTGACGTCTGTTTATAAGAGGTTGAAGGCTACAGTCCAGCACAGTGGTCTGACATGAAAAATTAATTGCAGCACTGCTATTAACAATCCTACACTTGGGAAATTAAGCAGAAGAAAAGGAAGCAAGAAGACATGCAGATGCAATGATATATACATTATGACTACACTAATTACAAGTGCTGTGCTGTTTAAGAGCAATGATTTTATAGGAAAAATGTATTGTGAAAATTATTAACTCAACCATTCTTTTGTGATGGCAAATTAAGAGCTGGTCTAGACCTTCAGCTGGTGCAAACCAGCCCTGTTTTGCTACTGCCCACATTGGTTATCACTCACTGAGGGCCTGACTCTCATTTTGGGTAATGTCTTTGGCCTCACAAATGACTTTCCTGCATTAGGTGGGTGGGGCAGGAGTGAGCTGCCAGGTTAGGAAGATAAACATTTGTCCTCGTTGTTGAGCTACGATTTTAGAACGGAAAACCACTAAACGGTGGGGCGTAACTCTCCAATAGAGCACGCTGATCCCTAATCAAGGAATGCCCATACTAAAGAGGCTGGGGAGAGCGGCCCTGTTGCTCAAAGAGGAAGGAGATTTGATCCCATATTCTGTTTTTGCCAGCAGAATCCCCAAGACACAGTGAAACTGAAGTTTTACCAGCATAGCTCGCCTCAGATGTGCAGGATGTTTTCCTTACATTGATCCAAAGCACAGCTTGGCTGCTCTAGCTATGTTCATGGGAGGGATGCTGAGCCAGGATTCCTGTCACAATAAAATATTCCTACCATGCAGGCGTCCTCTCTGCTATCGACTCTGCTGATTGCACTGCAAAGCTCATAAAAAATGATGATGTATCTGAAATCCCAAGACCTGGAATCATGTTGTGTCAAAAGAATCTTAGCTCTCGTGAAAACTAACTTTGCCTTCCTCTAAAAAACTGCAAAAATTTCAATATTTAGAGTCCTGAATTAGGGAAAGCAAAACAAAGAGTGTCCTCAACATGCCCTGCAAATTTTCAGCCAGCCTTGTGATTTGTGATTTTTTTTTTTTTTTTTGCGCCTGCCTCCTAATTTTGAGTGTCTGGATAGCTAATAGTGTTTACTGCAATCACAGAGTGTCAGACTCAGCAAGGTTTGGCTAATTGGGACCAAGAAGCCAAAGCATTCCAAATATGTGCAGGGAATGAGTAAAGACCTCCCTGTGCTGAAAAGCTGAGCACAACTGTTTTACACCATCATGGTTAATGCTTGGCACTGCTTTAAAACTACTAAGAGCCTGTAAACAGTACTAACAAGAAAGTCACTGAAGGATGGGCACCAGAACATCAGTTACTGGTATACAATACCATAACAGACCTTACTTTTCTTTGCCCATTTGCTACACCCCAACAATCCCGCTGCAACACAGGGTTCCACCTGGTGAGCTACACCTATCTCTCACACTTCTCCCACAGCCCGAGCTTGCACACCTCAGGGAAGAGCGTTGAGCACTTGACATTGCAATTTCTGAAGCTGAAGTTGTTGGCAAGACCACGAGTGTGCACGAGCAAACAGGTCAGTGAGATAAATGTGCACATTCCAGCACGGCACACGAGGCTCTCTCAGAAGCTTGCCTGGGGTCTGCTGCCTAAGGCCAGCCAGATGTGAGGGGCTCCTCACTTCGATTCACAAAGGATTTAGGAGCCATATTTGGGGGTGAATTTGCTCTGCAGTATATAATGATTCATGATGTATGCAAGGTTAGGGTACTGCTTCTTTCTTGTGTATTTTGGAATGCAACACTGCACTCCCTCTATTTACTTTAACAGATGGTCTGGTCCCTGTGCATGCTACTTTTATTTACCATAACATCTCAAATAATTCTCAAAATATAATACCTTTTAAAGTTTTCCTGCCTAGAGTTCTCTGTAAGTCTGTAAACACTAAGTTCATTAAACAAATTACTGTAGACAAGTACAGTTTAAAAAATATATATAGTGACAAACTTTTGAGTGAAAGGAACAAGGCAAAGAAGGAAGAATATCAAATAAAGGTACATGCGGAAACTTAGTGAACTGATGTTTCACACAGTCTTAATGTGGAAGACAAACACAAAATATCACATAGGAACTCTATCCCCAGATACCACTTTAGAAGACTTACAAAAGACTTTCTGAAAAGTATTTTTATTTAAGTGCTCGTTGCAACATAAACTTGTTCATTGCAACATAAACTTGTCTTCAACATTGACAGCAGGAAGACAAGGATAAAACTGGTTTTAATAGAAAGTTCCCTGAAGGGCTAATCTTTCAAACAGAATCGCAGAATACTTATTAATTTGGAAAAAAAACCCCAAAAAACAAAAAAGAAAAAACCCTAAAAACTGTCAGTGTTGAAAGTTATTTTTAAAATGGAAAGAGTAAAACCATCAAACTGGTTCAATCCTGCAAAGTCTTACAGCCAGGCACAATGCAACTCCTGAATTATTCCCCTGATGTCACTGTGCCTGGGCAGATGCAGGCACTGATGTGTGTGGGGAGTAAGTACCTTGTTACCAGTTCCCAGACACTAAACACACACACACCTCTCACTAACACTCCTCAAGCAGGGAGAGCTGAAACCCCGTGTTTGGAGGACAAGAAATCATAACTTCGTTAAGGGTTTTGTTACTGAAGCAGGACCAAACTCGTTTCAAGATGGGAGGAGAACTACTTTTAATCTCTTCAAGCAAGACTGAGGCCTCCCACCTGAAAAGATGCATTAACACTCTAGAAGAAGCACTGGTAGTGCAAACATCAGCATGCTGAACCTCTTGACATCCTTTCTCTCACCAAAGAGAAGTATAAAGAGGAGACAGTGCATAAATGTATATGTAAGTACCATCTACACAAAGAAAAAGCTGTCTCTGGCTGTGCTCTATTGCTGTCTATTGCTGATCAATTGAAAATGAAGCAGGAAAGGTGTACATTCACACACGGGGGCAAAGCATCCTGAACATGGAGCAGCACAGATTTGCACATAGGGGCACTGACCTGCTGAGGACTAACAAAAGTTATTGCACTACCATAAAAATAACTTTTAAACTTCAAGAAGGTTTTATCCAATACTCAGTAGGACAATTGCTAATTATTCCAGTCTCTTGTCTTACGTTCTAGTATTTCCTTGTTGGGCAAATCTATGCCAGAGAGAATGCGAATTAGCAACCTATTTAAAGGTATCCCAAAAGGGGCGTGAACAGGAAAATAAGAATGGGGGAAACACTGCCTTAAAATTATTTCTGTTCTTCTGTTATTTCTTCTTTTGATGCTGACTCCTTTGGAGCAGGATCTGTGTTTTTTCTTTGGGTTTTGATCAGTGCCCATTACAATACGTCAAATGAAGCCCTCAGACGTTAACCACACTGCAAGAAGGAGTTTTTGGCCATGAAAACAAAGCAGACATAACTCCTAGGTTGCTGTCTTTAATCACAGCTTCTCTGCTTGCGCTTTTTGTTTGTTTACTTCCCTGAACAGCCTTCCAGAGATCACCAGTCACCAAGATTTCAGTTCAACTATTTATATAAGGAAATTGCGCAGAATTTGGTGCCTATATTCACACACCAAAAAAAAAAAAAAATTGTTTCCATTTCTTGTGTTTCACTTATAATTTCTGCCTCTGTAATAAGCAAGTTCTTAACCCCAGGCTAAGCCACCTGGAGCAGATCTGTGCTCCTGCGCGGAGCCCTCTGCAAAAAGTTTCTTTGAAGCCAGAGAGGCATCCGCGTTATTTCCATATCTCCGGCTCTGACTCAGCAAAGCCTTTCGACATGTGCTGCAGCCTCACCGGGCTTGGGGACTGAAGTAGGTACAGAAGTGCTGGGCTGAATACGATGAAGTGTGGGTCTCCTCTGAAGTGCCCTCCCACTGTACAGCCCAGCGCTGCAGCCTCAGTTGCCCAGTGCTTAAAGGAATCAGTCATTAGTTACATTGATGGAATGACTTCAGAAATTAAATTTCTAAAGCATTTGTTTCTGTAGAGAAAAGTGAATTTATTTTAGAGAGTTTATTTTACAGAAGGTTTTTTCCCTGATGTCTCAGAATATGTTATGATCTTTTAACGAAAAGAAAAGTAACTGTGCTGAGGAAGTGTTCTATACTTTGCCTGCTGCCTAAGAGATGATTAAAATCAAGAATAAAATCGTTGGTTAGCAAATGCTGGGTATGTTACAGAAATAATATCATTTCAAGCATAAACAGCAATGAGCTGCAATTTATTTCTAGTTTGGCTTGGCTGCTGGTGCCTGAATGGCTTTAAATTATAAGGTCAAATATTGGGGGGGGCAAATCCAAGAGACACATAAAAATTATTTTTTTTTCAGTTTTCTTATCTGAATCACGACAAACTCAAATTAAAAAAATTTAAATCCCAGTATCTGTAAAAGAACTCTTAACCAAATTCTGCATATCTTGGAATACTCAGTATAAATCAAATCTCAAGCAGAGATTTGAGGCCAGATTTTGCAACACAAAAATTGTAACCAGAGTTTTGTAATGAGCTTTGTTGAACATGAACTCAAAAATCTCAGAGCACTATTTGAAAACAGAATGGTAAGATTAATACAAGATATTTTGTGAAGAGGGGAAAAAAATAGTAAAGAGAAATAAAAGACCAGCAATAAAATCTACAAACCTTGCAGGGAGAGGAGGGTCAGCTTTTCCAGCCACTAACCAGGAAGACCTGTGGTAGGCATATCTATATCTTTTATTGTCCACAGGAACTATATCCATTAACACAATATACTTGGCTTCAGGATCCACTCCTGAGAAGGAAACCCTGATCGTTGGAAACATTCTCCTAAAAAAAAAAAAAAAAAAAAAAAAAAAAATAGACAAATCAGAAAATAAATATTTGGGTAGAGAACAGAAATAAGAAAGCATCTGAAAAGCTGCTAAAAGTAGGAATTACACTTAAGTTCTCTGCAAAAACTTAAAGCATGTATTGATTTTGCTTCCTTACGACGGGAGTTAAAACTTGTGTCCCTCTAATACGGAAAAAAAAAGCAGCTTGAAATCGAAATTATATTTGGGAAGCAAAAAGAAAAACATGGTTAAAAGTGAATAAGGAAAGGAAGAATATACTATTTGCCTCTTAGTTAAAAGTACACAATGATTTCAGAAAATAGTTGTAGCTAAAGTACATAGATACTTAGGAACTTGGATTTTCTTTAATTATTTATATTTTGCGGGATCCTACAGTAAGGGAAATATTCCAGAATTATTTCCATTGTTATTCTCACATTTTACATGTTTTCTTAAGCCTGCTCACAATATTTCTGAATGGAATTTTCAAAACTAAAACATTTCTTCTCTGTACTGTTTTGACAAAACACAATTTTAAAACGTAAGGTTATCCTGTGGACCAGAAATAAAGATAAAGTTCAATATTTTAAACTGTCAAAAATTATTTAAGTTGCATGTTTTGTATTGCATGTTTTATACCTTTTTTATTTTTAATTTAAACCATATACCGATAGAGCTCACCAGTTAGGGGGAAAAAAATCTTCAGGTAGCTACATTAATGAAAAGTAACTTCGGAGATTAAGAAACCCGAAAAGACATTTGGCTCCTCCGGACTGCGATTGACTGACCCAAACCCCACAAGCTTTACTGAAGAAACGGCATAGTTTGAGGTAAGAAGAAAGCCCGAAATTCTTTTGCGCATTTTTGCAACGGAGAGAAAAGAACAAACCAAACTAAGCTCTGACGGAATCACTTCCCCACGACGCCGATTTCCCCTCGGTCTGTACCAACCCAGCGCCTCAAAATCACCGCAAGATTTCAGTCACAAACCTGATTATTCGGAACACAGCTCTTCTTCCCTGCCGCCAGGACGCCCCGGTGGATTTCAGCCCCGCCGCAGCGCCCGCAGCTCGCCGCCGGCCCCGGCCGCTTCTCCCGCTGCCCCAGCGGGAGCCGAGGGCTGCGGGAACACGGGGATCACCCTCCTCCCCTCCCCTTAACCCAGCCGTGCTGCTCTCCCGATACAAAAAAAAAAAAAAAAAAACAACCCGAGGGGTTTCGGTAACTTTGCCCTTTTTTTCCCTGTCCAAAGCCGCTTTTGGAAAGATGTCCAGAGGGAAACCAAGGGGCTGCCCAGCCTTACCTCCCGGATTTGGTGATGATCATCTCGGTACCCAGTTCGTGAAACTTGTCCCAGAGCTCTTTGGTCTCCAGGCTGCAGGAGATTTTGGCCATCTCCTCGCTGGGGATGATGGGGGTGGTGGGGATGAGGGGCTCGGTGCACAGGGAAGAAGGGCTACTGCTAAAATCCCCGTGAGGGTCCAGGCTGGATAAATCACTCAAAGGCTGGGCGCAGGAGGATTTCTCAACGAATTGTTCTGCAGGGTTTCAGGAAAAACAGAGGGAGACACAGAAAAAGAAAGAGAAAAAGAGAGAGAGGATTCAGCCAGGACAATGCGACCACCGAGACAAGCTATGTAAATACATACATATATATACACACACACACATATATTTATATATATATATGGCATTTATCGTTCAGTTGGCTCCGCACACCGGGCCGATTCTTTAGGCGTCCGCTCATCATTTGAGGGCGGCGGTGTTGATTTTCGGAGATGAGCTCCGGGAAGAGCCGGCAGCGGCGCCCCGGGAGCAGCGCTGTGACCGGCTGTGATCCGCTCCGCGGGGCACGGCGGGGCAGAGCCAGCCCTGCGCTAACCGAGGGGTTCCTCGGAAAGGTCACTAATTCTCATTAAAACGGGAGCGTTGGGCGCCGAGGGGCTGCTGAGGGCCAGGGTCACGCTGGGGGAGCGCGGGACGCTGCTCCTGGATTGCGCCTCTGGCAGAGAGCGCAGCGCAGACGGAGCCCGAGCGCGGCCGCGCAGGCTCCGCGCTTCCTCGGCGGGGAAGCGAACCCCAAATACTAATTAAACAGCGGGCACGGGCTCACCCTCCCGGAAAGCTGGGTCTGCCCTTCTCCCAGCCGGTTTGCTGACACTGAACCCGCTCCTTTGGAGAAACAGGCTCCGAGGGAGCTGCGTGCGGCCGCGCATCCTACGCGGGTGCAGTAGCTGCTGCCGCCCGCCGCGCCTGGCTCCTGCCTGCCGCCCACCCCCGCAGGCCCCGGGAGGCTTCGGGCGCTTCAGCAGCTCCGCTGGGAGCTTCCGCCGGAGGCGAGGCCGGGAGGGAGCCGGGCTGCGGGGGCTCTGCCCGGCCCCGCGATGCGGCACCGGGATGCGGCGACAGATCCGCCGCCCGGCGCCAGAGAACGGGAGGGGCACGAACGCGCCCTGCCCCTCCAGGGAAAGGTTTTGCCTAAAGCTCCAGTTAATAAAACAGAGTCACAGGCAGTCGTTTCCCTTTGACTTTTAGTTGAACGACATGAGGGAACGGGTTAAAAAAATTTTAAAAGTTAAATTAAATAAGCATTTTCAGGAAAAAAACCCAAACAAAACAAAACAAAAAATCCAAACCAACCCCACCAACACTAAGTTTTAACAGAAACCCATGTAAATACGCCGACCGGGAATACTACAACGTTCCCGGCCTACATTACTTAGTCTTCCCGTCCAGACTTAAAACTGAATTTCACAGTGAATCCCTAGACTATGTGAAATCTTTTGAGACAGTTGATTAGGTGCAGCAGACACTGAGGAGCTGCCTTTTCTAAATTCTTTTAAGATTGAGTGTAATCCTGTTCATTGGCGCCCTGAAAGCTTAACACATATTTTGTCGTTTTCTGCGAACTCCTAGATACACGCACTCCTAGATACATACAAGGATGACAAACCGCAGAAACTTGGAGAGGGGGAGGAGGGGAAGATGTTCATGTTTTTTAAAAGCTTTCAGGATTCTGAATCGAGGCAACCGAAGAGAGCGAAATCGCTAACCCGAAAATCGCAAATGCTTACAAAAAACTCCTCCCGGTCTGCGTAGAGCAAAACAGCTTATATGAGCCTACATCGAGGAGCTGTGCAGTGAAGGGATTTTCAGTTCTACAGTTATACGCACAAGTTTTACTACCGCTTGTAAGCCTAGGCACGGCAGCGGAGAGTCTCTAATTTGGCTTTAGAACCAGCGCGGATTTGCAATATCTACTTAAGAGATCCATTTCATGTCGGCAAAGAGAAATTGAACTACCGTAGAGTGTGGGATTATCCTGCAAATGGCGAAGCTGGATGAATGAGAGGCATAACTGAAACTAGAGGAATTTAGGAAACTCTTCATGCTATAAACAGCCTCGCCTAAAAACGACAGCGGGTAATAAGGCGCTCAACCTTCAAGCTTAGGTGGTGCAGCTTTCCCCTCTGCAGGGGAAACCTTCGGGCAGGGGGAACGCGCCGCTGCCCGGCTGATGGAGCGCTGGGAAGGGTGAGCCAGGGCGGACAGGACAGACGGACGGACCCCACGGACACCCCCGTCCCCACTCACCCAGAGGCTTGATGGTGCTCTCGGGGGACTCCTTGTCCTTGGAGCTGCCGCTCGACATGAGGGCGGCGATGGAGAAGGCGTTGGCCCGGGAGGAGAGCTGCGGCTTGGGGGGCGGCGTGTACTCCATGGCCACGGAGCGGGGACGCGGCTCGGTGCGGCGCTGCCCGGACGGGGCGGGGGGAAGCACCGGCCGGGGGTGGCGGAGCCGGGATACCGGGAGCGCTCTGCTCCCGGCGCCGCGCGCTCCCCCGCCTTAACGCGGGGCCGCGGAGATCCTATCGGCCGGCGGCCAATCGGCGCCGGGACACGTCAAGGGCCCCGGCCCGGCCCGGCCCGGCCGCGGGGGAGGGGGCGGAGGCGGGCAGCAGCAGGAGCTGCAGGAGGAGGAGGGACGGAGGGAGGGGAGGGGAGGGAGAGGAGGGGAGGGCTCTGCCCGCCCGCGGAGTGGGGAGGGGGCGGCCGGCCCTCGGGACAGCTCCCCGCAGCCGCTCCCGCTCCCCTTTCGGGCACCCCATCGCCGCTCCCCGCCGGGGCCCCGGCTGCGGTTCGGGGAGCGCCATCCGCTCCTCCGAGCCCCGGGGGCGGCAAGGAGGGGGCAGGCCGCGCGGCCAGGGATGCTCCCGAGAAGGTCCCTAGGCTATTCGCTTTGCCGAGGCAAGAAACGGCGGAGAGGCGCTTGAAAGGACGAAATGTAATTGTGAATTTTTCTGGTGCGTGTGTGTGAGTGTCAATTTTCTCTTTTACATTCAAATATTAAAAGACCGCAGCTTTCAAAGCAGCCGTTTTCGTCGTTGTGTGCTTTCTGCTGGCACAGAATGTTCCTTAAGGCTGATCGTATTCTTGGTTTTGCTGCACCGGATCCCAAATATTGTCATCCCGGTGAGATGTACTCGCCCCCACCGACTCCAGGTGAGACCCTTGCAGCATTCCCTTCTCAGCCAGACCAGTGCGTGGGCCGCTGATCGCACGGTTTTCTTCAAAACCGTTTCATCGGCTGCGCCGAAATAGATGATATTGATCAGGAGCATAAGACAGAGAAAGTCGGGACGGGCTGATGGTACCAACGAGTAGCTTATTCCAAGGCAGTGATTTAAGTAAGTTTCTCACCAGTGCTCTTTCACACATACAATGTAAACACACTCTCATGAATAAATGAAATAAAGAAAAGCGGTGCGTTTAATTAAATTCATTTAAATGAAAATATCACTGAAGATATTTACTCTCTATAACGACTCACAAGAGGACGTGCAACTTTATCAATGAAGTTCCACCTTTTAAACCTAGAACACAATCCAAGGACTCTTGTTATGCAGGGTCGTGCCAAGAGCCATACGTACCCGGTGTCAATCCCGTTCCTACTACACTAGATTATTATGGAGAAAGAATTATTTGGATCCCCCTACCCGGCCAGTGGAGTGGGGAAGACGAACCAGTGCTTTATCGCTTTGAGATCAGTGAGAACCACCTGCAGTTTGCCCTTTTGTTACCTGAATTTGCTAACAGATAGAATATCTATCGCAAACGGGACGGGCGTATTGAGAAGTGCCTAAAGCGTCTGGCAGAGGATTTCGGCGTGGCCCACAGCGGTCTGGGGGCCCGGTGTCGCCTCAGGCATTAGCGGGAGGAGAGGGCGAAAGCGGAGAGCCCAGCCAGCCCCTCGGCCGGCGAGCCGGGAGGGTCGGCTCACGAAGCATCGCCTTTTGCTTGACGCCGGGAAACAGAGACGAGAGGTTCTGCCGACACCAATCTTTAAAAAACAAACAAACAAAAAGTCCCCTCAACACTTTATCGCTTTATCCCGAGGGACATCCCGGCAAATACGGGTCCGGTTTCCCTGCGGGACAGTCCCGCTCCTGGGACCCCTCCGGGCGTGCGAGGGGCGGCGGGACGGGGATCCCGAGCTCCCGGCCCTGCGCTCCTTTGACCCTACTTGAAAAGCAAGGTCCGGCCTGCCTGAATGAAAGACAAAGAAGGGTACAAACAGCCGGGGAAGTTATCCTCTTCACCTTTCCTCTGGTGGTGACAGGGATGCCTAAGTCTCCTTCGGTTTCCTACCCCCTGTACGCGACGCGCAAGTAAGGATAATAAAACCTGTCGAAGTAGCAGTGCAGATCCTACCAAAAAAAAATCAAAAACTCACACCAAAACTAAACCGAAAAAAACCCCAAACAACCAAAACTCCCAAAACAACCTCTCTTTTCCCTTTGCTTCTTTCGGTCCCCCAGCAGTGAGGTTGTAACATACCTGTCCCTAGCAGGGGCTGCCCCCGGTCCGTCGGGGAAGAGGGGAGAGGGGCCGTGGGTGTCTGGCTATTTCTGTGCGTCCGTCTGAGAAACACGGCTCAGTCCCGGCAGCTGAGGAGCTCCGGACCGATTGCTGCTCTCCAGTCCCGCGGGGCGAGCGGTCCCTGCCCCGGCCCGGGGAGGAGGGCTGGGCCGCGGCGGGGCAGCGCTGCGCGGTGAGCGGGGCACGGCGCGCCCGGGCGCGGAGGGGAGCGGAGCGGCGGGCGAGAGGCAACAGGGCCGTGGAGCCGGGACGGGGCTGCCGGTCACCTCCGGGCGGGAGGTATCCCCCGGGGAGAGGAACCGGCTTTGGGGGCTTGCAGATCTCTGCTCGTACCTTGGAGGTAAAGAAAAACGGGATGGAAAGAAACCAGGAGCTTCGTTTTTATTTTATTTTAAATGGGTCCGTCCACACGGGATGGCTTTTCTTTTGCTTGGTTAAGGCATGCAATTTTTCGCTCTATCCGACGAGAATCTGTATTTTTTTTAGGGTTTTTTTTCCCTCGCTCCGCCTCCGATAAGGAAATGAGCCCTGTCTAGACGCCCAGAGCACCCCCTCCTTCCCCGTGGGCAGGGAATGGGTCTCAGCTCCGGCCGCCTAATCCTCGCTACGGCTCCCTCCCCCGCCGGGGCCGAGCTGGGGAGACACAGGGATCGGGCAGCCCAAGGGCGGAAAGGGTGAGAGCCCGGCTTCCCTGGGCTGCTTTGCCGTCCCTGCCCACGGCCCTCTCCGGCGACGGGCCGGCTTCCAGAGACCAGGGGGTGGCAGGGGAACACACCACTGCCCCAAAGCTCTTGATGCCTCTCTGCTTTCCCAACCAAGTGGATGATTTAGAAACGTCCGCGCGCTCTTCCCAGGGGATGCGAACCGGAGCTGCCAGTCCCCGCCGCGCCCAGGCACAGAGCGGCTGTCACCGCTGTAGCGACCCCCTCCCGAGAGCAGTCACCAACCCTGCTGCTCCCCAGCAGGGCGGTTGCCTCGTTTGAACCCGTTTCAATTAAATCCTTCGTTATTGTTTACCCGTATATGAAGAACACGCAATCTACACTGCAGTTTGTTTTTAATCTAGCAAATCCATGTGTTTGTCGCTGCTGTCAGCCTGCTGTGGCAGAGACATTTCATTAGGCTTCATTATTCTTTCAAAATACTTTTTTCCCCATTTTCCTTTGCCTAAAAAGCTCCTTAGTCTCTCGTGCACCGGCAAAAAACAGCGTGCAGCAATCGCTGCACACCTCAACTCGCTCGTTCGGTTCCCAGCTTTAATCAGGATTGGGTCTCAGTTTCGCCGTCAGCTTTCAAATAGGGAGCTTGCAGCCCACTTCCAAAACCTTTCTCTGATCCCTGGCGAACCAAGGAGAAAGCTCGATCCCGTGAAAACCGTGAGCACCGCTTCTTCCCAGCCCTTTCCTCACCTACACAAAATCACGACGGGAACGACAAACGAGGGACAGAAAACCCGCAGAAACCCGCCGAGCAACCTATGGTCCAGAGGGATGGTTTCAGGTGCTCCCTCGCCTGCGTGACAAGAGCTCCGGCGCTGCGCGTCTCCGCGCGGCCGCGCAGGCCCGCGGGTGACGGGGAGTGCGGAGAGGGGCGCACACCGGGCGGACAGCCACGCTCAGGTTATAAGCATCTCTTTCGCGCAGTGATGGGGGGCCGTTGCCCTTTTATTTTATTTTTCTTTCGTTTTGTTTTTTTTTTTTCTTTTTTGGGGGGGGTTTTCTGGTTTGGTGGGTTTTTTTTCTTTTTTTCCCCGCAAAAGCCCCCACGCCGCAAAGACAAACCTGTGCTGCGGCACCCGCGGGGCTGCGCCCCGAAAACGGGCCCGGCACCGAGCCGAGCTGACACCCGCTCTTCTCACGGCTGTCCCTCGGCATTTGCCTCCATCCCTCCTCCTCCCCTCCGGATCCGTAGCCTGTGCGGAGGGCAAGGACCACGTTTCCCTTTAATTAGGAGCCTACGGGTGCGGGATGCTGCTGCCGAGACCCTCCCTGCCGCCGTCCCACGCTGACCGCTGCTGGCCCGGTGCTGCCCGGGGCGTGTGTCTGACCCTCCAGCCCGCAGCCCCTCTCCAAGGTAACCTACAGCGCTGCTTTGGGATTGAGTTTACTCCTGCCTCGGGAGGGAAGAGTTAAAATCTTTTGCTCTTTCTTATTTTTCGCCCTTGTAGATAAAAACGGTTTCTCCATCATAAAGAATGGTGTTTATTCGCTCGGGCAGGGTCTCCGGCTCGCACGCTCCTGCCTTGCGAGAGAGCACCGCTACTTTACAAAGCCATGGCTACAGCGCTACCCGGCTCTGGCTACTCTCCCCTGCAACGAGATTATCAACCCTGTCCTCCGCTGCACGTAATTCTATTGCTCTGTCCACCGGATTCCCCCTCTCTTTGCGCTCCCCGGTATCGGAGCAGCCCCCGCTCCCGGCGCTCTTGCTGCGGCGGGGACATCGCTCCCCTGCGCTCTCCCCTTCACGGAAAGAGCCGCGCCAGCAAGACAGAAGCCCAGGTTCCCGAGATCCAATTTCACCACAAAAACATCTCAATGTCACCTACAGCGAGAAGGTGGCTTATTGGAGCAAAATGCGAGGCATTTTAAACCTATTAGGCATCTCCCAGATGCAAATCCAATGGTAGAAAGAGAAAGGCTCTATTAAGACCCGAGGGCTGACAATTAGATTATAGTCCAATTGCCAGTGGATAATGTGCTAAAAGCTTTCCCATTTAGTGTAACTCCTCGCTGAAAATTATTCACACTTTGCGGGCTGCCGCGCTCCTGGATGGGAGACGTCTTTGTCCGCGGAGAGCGCGAACAGCCGGGCGCAGCTCAGCGCAGACACACGGACGCACGGACAGATGCACACGCAGGAGGCTTCGCAGCCAGGAGGATCATTGTTAAACACATCCTTCCCGACCCAGAGCCCAGTGGCAAATCTGTTTGTGGTACAAGCTGACGAGCGCACGCAGAGCCGCTGCAAAGGCGCCAGGATAAGCGCATCCAGAGACACCTATTCCA